GATGGAGTGTGAAAGAATTAAGAACTCTACGTTTTGAGTCATGAAATAAATTGTTTTTCTCGTGCAGTTGCCATTTATAGAACTTAAACTGCAGGAGTAATAATTATTCGAATATCTGGTCGTTGAATAATTGATTTTTTTTGAAAAAGTTAATCACAAACGTGGGAGTAATAATGTGCGTTTGGAAAAAAAAAAGGAATTGTAGCATGCAAGAAATTTCAAACACAATTGTTTCTTCCCTGCAGTCTATTGACTATTGTTTCTTTCAAAAAGTTAAATCACAATGGTGGCCCTAATAATGTAGGGTTGGAGAACATATGGAATTGTAGGATGCAAGAAATTTCAAACATAAAAATGTTTCTTCCATGCATTCTATACCCTATTATGTTGTTGAAAATGTTAATCACAAGGGTGGGAGTAATAATGTGGAGTTGGAAAACATATGGAATTGTAGCATGTAAGAAATTTGAAATCATGATGTAGGGAATATATTCCCTGCGGTCCATGGAAGTATGACTGATACATAATTTCATCATAGCATTTAAACATGCGAAGTTATTGAAATTGACAAGGTAATTCAGATTATAACACAAAGTCGAAGGTTCTACGATACACAAAGTAATAAATAAAAGGAAAATGTAACACGAGTGATGTACACATAAAATCGTCTGACGACAACTAGAAAAACATTAAGAACTCATCGCAAACGTCCGGAAGGAGTGCTTAATCCTTACGGTTAATGGACATATTGTCTCGCTCGAAACAGTACTGGATGAATTTAAATCTCAAGTAAGGTGTCTTGGCAGCACAGCACGAGTTCCGATTGTTTTTGTCCTTTAGGAACCATAAGGCAAAGAGGTAGGGCCGATTACTTTCCTGAACATGGCCAGACAATAAAAGTTCGTCAACGCATTCACCGTTTGTCATTCCTCCCTTACGATACGAGCGCAATTGAAGCAAGATCCGTTCCAGAACTAACCATCTGCTCAAGGGAAACCAAAACCTCTCGTGCACCTAACATTTTCTTCTTTGTTTTTCCCTTCATGTGCTTGGTTTTTCTTTTATCCCTACTATGGTGTGCAGATATATTCATGAAAGAGTTTGCTCGGCCTTCAATTGGGCTGCCATTTGAATCTGTTGCCTCCGAGTTGATGGGGAACTTGTCACCTTCGTACTCTATTTCACTATATGTGACCAATTCAAAACCACGGTGCAACTTTGTTGGGGACAATGCACTTGGTCGAGTCTCTAGTGTCCCCGAACAATCTGCCATACGTGTCATAAATCTCGCTACAGTTGAAGTTCCTGTATTTATTCCAAGTAACAACACTCAATATCGTTCCAGTGTGCAATGTTTTACTGCCTATTAGTCCTTTATAATGATTAGGCGCATACAGATGTGAACGAATACCTTAATTTTTGCTTCCCACCAATGGTCAGGGGCGTGAATTCTTCCGGTACCCGAGTGGTACTCAATTCCAGTGCATCGCAGCAACTCAAACAAAAATTTGTGATCCGTTTGCAGTTTATTCCAATAGTTCTTCATCTGCAATGTAGTCCAGTCCTTCCCCGATGAGGCGTTGAACATGTCTGATATACGATGCCATCCTTTCAAGGTGAAGAATTTGCCTAGTCGATGGCCCTCAGCTATAACAAGTTTTGCAGGTGTCGATGAATACTTTGTGCTCCAGCTAGTTCCACCTCGTCGTCTTATGCACCACTCCCGGGGATGCCTACGACTTGGAAGAATCAGGGTGCAACTTATGTGGGCTCCCACTTGTGAATCATTAACATAGGAAACATGCATGATAAGTCAGGTAATATTGATAAACAACTACGAATTGACAAGACAAAAGCAGAATCCGTCTACATTACAGGGGGAAGTATGCTTCGCGGGTCTGATATAATTTATATAGAAGTCCATCAAATTGGAGTAATACCCATGTGCAAAAAATGACAATAGTGGAATAAACAGGTAGCAAATTGACACAGTATGCTCCTTCACAGAGATCGAATGAGGAATGACTTACCGTTTGGTCGAGGGAACTTTGCTACTGGGAGAAGTCGTTTTCCATGGAATTCGGTCACTAATTCGTGCTAGACTCCGGATTTGTTGCCTGAGTTCCAACTGGATCGAAGCCTAGAACACGGCAGAGGAGAAGAAAGTGAAAAATCTCTACAAAACCGGACACATGTAAGGAGAAAAATTACTTGGGTATTCGATTGGGATAGTGAAAAAAGCCATATGTATACCTGGATTTCTGAGAACTTGTTCCAATTTTCCCCTAGATTTGTTCCAGAGGTCGCCGTTCGCCATGATCTGGTCTGTTTCTACAACTGTTGGAGAGAAGTTGGTGGAAATGGGTTTTGGCCGAAATGAGAGTAGATGCAATGAAAGATGGGGCAAAAACGAAAACATTTTACAACGAGACAAATTGTTAAGTAATTGGGTTTCTGACAGCTTTCTGGACTTTGGGGAGCCTTGTCTGAATATACTGTAGGAGAATTAGATATTTGGGCAAAAAAAGGGGTTTCAAACAAGGGCTACATGTACTAAAAATGTTGTCTACAAGGAAATCCTTTCATTCATACATCCGTATAACTACAACATTTTCGTAAGTACTTTATAATATTTAGCTTATCTGAAACTCTCTTCTCTGAGATCAAATTCAATAGAATTAAAATGGATTATCATTTATCTGCTTTTTTTAAATTTGTTCCCTATATATTAATGCAAAATAACTTGGTTGTACATAATTCGAGGACCTTCTAAATTCATGCACTGAATTACATCGAACAATTTAACAGTCTTACAAGGAATAACTTACAGAAGAGCAGGAGAAAACTGAAAAAAAAAATTAAAATACAACCTGATAAGGTTTGTGAAATATTGTTTTAGAAATATTTTTTTATCGATGTAATGTGTTGTATAATATTTTATCTTTTCCTTTTTCAATACACAAACTGAATATTTTTATATAAGTACTATGAGATCTTTTCACATCACATTTTGCTACAAAATGAAATTTTTTACAATCTGATGATTCTTATCAGCCTATTCCTTAAAAAAAGATTTTCTTTTAAATTTACACCTTCTTTTTGGATCATAAATTTTTGCCTTTAAATGTACATAGTTACTTATAAGATTACTTTGATTGTAGGGTGAAGCATATTGCCTATTTTACATAAAAATTAGCAGGTCGATACTCTGTATAACAATTGGAACACTTATTCTAAAAGAGACAAATAGAGACAGCGCCTGATTCTTTGAAATGTCTTGTTTAATTAATCAGCTGCAACTATAGTACCACATGCTGCTACAATCATCCTGAAAGAAGTTCAAATAGTAAATTGTTGATTTTTTTTTTCTTTTTATTTAGTAATCAACCCTCTTACTGCTATTGCACATGTTATAGCTTATCCTCCTTCACATTTTAGCTTTGGAGTTGTTATTCCATCAACATCTCTTTTTCCAACTTTTGATCCTAGGTTGATTGAGACATCGGTATAGTGAAAATTGCTTATGCTTTCGTCTGGTTCACAGCATCCTTATGATGCATGAAATTGATTAATTAAGATTGTTAAGTGTTTGATATTTTGCACAATGTATTTTATCTTAGATTTTTTATTGCTTTGCAATAGTTGTTTCTTATTTTTTCATTGATGAGCTCAATTTTAAGATTCTTATTATTTGATTCGGAACATATTCTATCTCCTAAACTAAGTTTATGACTCTTAAGAAGTTTAGAAATTTTCCCTTGAAACTTTACTAGGTTTATCTTAATGTGCTTATCTCTCTTCTCCATGAGCTTTCAAACTCTTATTCCGTAGCTGGAATCTCTGCAGGCATCAACAGCAACAACCGATGGAAGTTGTCAATCTGTAGCAACCACCATCGGCATGCTCTCAAAGATGCTAACAATCCTGCAGGGTACTTATTCAAATGTGACCCACCCTTATTTTGTTAATTTTCATGAAATTACATAACTTAAAATGTTGAAATCTTACATAGTCAACATTGATATTTCATTAATATAGGTCTATGATTTTGCCTAACTCCTCTTGATGGCGAAGGAGACTTTCGCAGAATTCTTATCAAAGGCCAATGTACTGCCGTCGATTGAGTCCAGATGCCAGGATGAAGGTTTGTTGTGTTTTTTTCTAAATTCATCTATTAATTGAATCCTTTTCATGTTTCCCATTAATTATACAGTTTCCAATTGTAAGATTAAATTCAATGGCACGTGCGAATTTTTATTTCTATTAGCCTGGTCCGAATTCAATTGGGATCTTTGCCATTTCTCAAAATTGTGGTAGAGTGGCAGCTCGAGTCTACAGTCTTTTTAGTTTAGAACCTGCAAATGTAGCATCTCGCAATTCTATTACTTTTTCGTTTGGTCCTTATTCCAGGTTCTTATTTATCACTTCATGGATATTTGATCCTATCGTGTGACATATTGTGGTTAGTTGTCTCAAAATTAATCTCATACATACTTTCCTTTAAATTTTGTAGATTGCATAGATCCTTAAAGATCGTTCTTCTTCTTGGTTGTGAGATTGTCGAAGCCTTGAAGTTTTCACTATGTTTCTTGTTGGAAGTGGAGGTACAATTGAACTTGTGTATACTCAAGTAAATTATTCAAATCTCTTGGTCCTATAATGTTCTACATTCAGGTTCCCATGTGGAAGAAATACATCATTAAATGCTAATTGCGCACTTATGCACCAACTACACTGGCTCTTGCTCGTGACTTTCGAACTCTGAGATACATGATCACCTTAGAAAATGAAAATCTTGTGGTATACATCTCTGAATCTTTTTGTTCGCTTTTTTCCTGTGTCAATTTATGGCCGCCTATAGCTGAATATAGACTTCTAACCAATGACTGATATAATCATCATGAATGTGTTGAAATTTCTTGATATCTGGCACTAAACTGAAAAAAAAAACTCGTCTTCATATTTGAATAAAATGAGCATTGAATAACTTGCATTACAATTTTTTGTCTCATTCTCAAGCTCTAGAAAAGCTTCCCATCATTGATTAAACCTTCTTGGGAAGGTTGCACTTGTACACAGACTAATTCAAAAGAAAGAGAGATATATATGAATAAAATGGCCTTATTTGCAAGCTTCACAATTGTCTGGACTAAGATAAACTGTTGTTGCATTTGTTCCAGTACATGTCTTTAATCTATTAAAATGGGCTATTACAACTTTGTAAACCATGATTTTTTTATGTCGAGGGTAGTGTCATACATCTTTTTGTTTTTGATCTTTTTCCATTCTTGTTCCATAAATGTCTGTGAAAGATCTCTTCTTGGTACCAGGGCTAGCCCAAGTGCAGCTGCAGCTTCACATTTTGAAGAATCGAGATGCTTCCATATGGATATCCGATCCGACCATGTGAGGGTGGATGGTCAATCATTCATAACTTTGATCACCTAAATCTCAAGGTTAGATGCGACATTAAACATAATACACTAAAGTTTCTTAGATCTTCCCAACTTAATTCGTAACATGACTCCTACTTCCAGGCCTGAAATGTGCCAGAGGTTCTTCGGCCTCTACCGAACATTATAGCGTATAAAATGACTATTGCGGTGAGTATGACTATTTAATATCATACGTATTTGAGTCTTTGTAAAGATCATTCAAAGATTCATCTATTGACTAAAGAGCTAAGACCGACCGGATTTTCTACTGATTTTGCATTTACTAATGTTGCCCATCCTTATATTATATTTTACCATCCCAGACGCACTCCGAAAAATATACCGGTTGGCTTTTTTAGTTCTTTTTCCATGTTGCCAAAATCTATAGTGATCGTTCTTTTTGGATTTTGTTACAAAGGCACTACGATATATCAGGTAGATAACTCGGGAGACAAGTGGTGAGATAGTATACAGAGTTAGCTGGCAACCAGCTGTTCTACGCACATTCAATCAGAGAATAAGCAGGTAGATACCACTATATTTTGATCCTATTTTGGCTTGTACCTGGGGACATGTAATGCACAACAGTGTAAGCTATCTTTTATATTTGCTGTTGTAGTCGAATTTTAATAGATTGCTATTAATAGAATATTATTCCTGTGCAGAGGCTTTAATGATGCTATTAACAACTTCAATAATGATGGCTGATCATATTTGAACTCTGACGGGATTCAAGATATAGTAGTGGCTATCAACTACTCCAAAAACCTAAGCACTGGACAGAATGCCTATGAGGCTCTTCACATAACTACTAAGAAATTGCCTTTCAGTGAAATTATTACTTCCG